GTAGCTGCCGTCGGGCACCGCCTCTGTCTGCGGAGCTCCAGCGGCTCTGGTCAGAAGTTACCCCGCGTTCGGCAGTTTCCGCAGAGACTTGTGAGGCCGTGGGGACTTAAACCCTGGCTGAGGCGTTTCTCACGTCTCGGAAAGATGATTTCCAGCGTCGGCGCCATGGCCTGTGTGTTGCTGTGGAAAGGCCTCGCACAGGACAACGTAAAAAGCCGGTGTCTGTGGAGAGAGGAGTAAAATACCTGTGTGCAGAGCAGCGTTTGCTTGCTGTGGTTGGGGTTTGTTGCTTTGCATAGATGCGTAGGGTTGAGCTGAACTGCATTAAGTGGACTAGAAAAGTGAACTCTGAAGTTTTTATTTTTAATCTTGGAGCTCTTTGTTCGGCTTCACATTATGTTAAATTATATGAAAACTTTAGAGCAGTGTTTTTGTAATCCTTTACTAGTCTGTATTTCCCCTTTCTTAAAGTTAAGAATGGAAATAAGGCTGGACACAGTCTTCTGTATTGTATGGTCATTCATATGTAGAACTTGGCGTTACCATCTTTTAAAATTCTTGTATACCTGGAAAGCATTAGCACTGCTGTAAATATCAAGAGTAAAACTTCAAAATGGTGATGAAACAAACCTTGAAGGAGCGATGCCTTTGACTCAGGATCTTAGGCTCCTACTTCTATACTAAGCTTTCTGTATGAAATTTCTAGGCATAGACAAAAGGAATTGAACTAACTTGGTTAGCAGTGATGAGTATGTGGACTCATCAGGAAAATGAAGTCGTTTAAGCATTCCTTCTTACCACTACATGATTATGAAGCATTAATTTTGTGCTATAATGAAAGAATCCTATTTTGTTTTTCAGGTTGTTTTTTCTTCCTCCTGACTAACAATATGGTCATGAGCACTCTTTTTCTTTTTTTGGTGCTTCATTCATATCAGGCTAGTTCTGTCTTCTCTTCTGACTATGCCTTTGCTTTCTTCGCTGACAGCTGGCCTTTGGAGCAGGTCTTGCAGGATTATTACAAATACTTTGTGCTGAGTTTAGAAAGTCATATTCTGGAGTGTAGAGTCTCTTCCTTCTCAGTACTACAGAAGCTTCCCTCTACCTGTTATTTTCACAACCTCTCACATGCTGGCTTATGGGCATAGAAATAAGTGTGTGAGCACTGCAAGCTTCTTCTCTCCCATGGGCTCCTCTTGTTAAAGTCTGATTTAAAATTTTGCACAGCCTCATGAATTTAGGTGGATGGAAGGTGCACAGTGCTACCTTTTCACCACTTGAAGCCTCTTCTTTACAGTGTGCTATGTATGGATAGGTAGTATGACTGTTGAAGTGGGTTATAAACTCTGGGTAGCAAGCTTTTTCTACTTTAATGTAAAAAATTTGCATCTTAGCAAATGGTTGTGGTAATACTAAAATACCGGTTAATTTATTGTTTAATTTCTGTTAAAACCTAAGTATGTACTGCACAAGCCTTACTCTAATTTGCAATTTTTTGTACCAGTGTTCCTTTCTAGCTTCACTAGTCCATGCTGGTTTTTACCGTGTTAGTAGGAGCAGGCAGTGATGTACTGTGAAATAAAATCTTTGTTTCTCTCTGCTCAAATTCTAGAATGCCAGGACTAAGCTGTAGATTCTACCAGCATAAATTTCCGGAGGTGGAAGATGTAGTGATGGTTAATGTTCGCTCCATTGCTGAAATGGGAGCCTATGTCAGCCTGCTGGAGTACAACAACATTGAAGGCATGATCCTTCTCAGTGAGCTGTCCAGAAGACGTATCCGTTCCATAAACAAACTCATTCGCATTGGGAGGAATGAATGCGTCGTGGTCATAAGAGTTGACAAAGAGAAAGGTATTTGGGGATGTTGTGGGCAGTATCAACATTGAGTTCATAGAGAGAAATGCAGATAAACTAGGCAGCTTAGGTATTCAGTTGTTTTGCCAGGGGTTCTTTTTTTAACATGCTTAAGCGAAGTAGACCATCATCATGCCATCTGATACTTATGATCATTATTCTGTTCCTCTGTGTCCTTTGGGAATCAGGTTAATGGTGGTCAATCACATCAGTAAAAATTTGCTTAAGTGGGTCCTCAACAGCTCAGTGTTTGATCAACAAACAATAGTGAAGTGGAATTTTCTTTTGATAGCTATGTAGATTTTCTAACTCTTAGTTGAAGAGAAGGATCATCTGGTGTAGAGATTAAAATCTAGAGGTGAACATTTAGTGCTCACAGTCCATCCAGTTCATTAACAAGTCTTGAACCTTGTTCATAAAACAGATGACATATATGTAATCATTGTACCACATTACTTCTGTAGGTTACAAGTTGAGATTGTACAGGCAACTTTGTCTTTTCCTGTCTTCTGAATGTTTGAATCTCTTATTAATATATTTTCTGTTTTGATAATACTGTTCCATGCAGTCTTTAAAATCTATATCTACGCATGAAGAAATAATAAAACTAAACACTGAGCACATCTCCTAGAAACCCGACTGTTGGTATCATGTTTCTCAAGTAATATGCTTTTCTAGAATACTTTTGAAACTGCAGTTACCTCTGACGTTAAATAACGAGTGATAGGATAAGATAAAGCAGAGAGGAAAGAAAGACAAGAAGAAACTTTTTTTCAGATAGATCTGAAGTTAAATAGGTTTCCCAGCATCTCCAATGAAAGAATACTTTCTCTTACAAATTCATTTCATTCTCATATTAACAGAGAAACACATCTGGAATTCACATAGTGGTCTTCTATTGAATTTTTTGGGGAACCTATAGTGTGTGAGAAGTAGGTGGAGGCCTTTTCAAATTTACTAAGAAATGGCTCAAAACAGATTTTTTCACAAATAGTTATCCCAAAAGGGTATCTGAGGAGTTAAGAGTCAGAATTTGACTGACTCTTATTAGGAAACCGTTCAGAGCTAAACTTGTGGAGTGCCAACTTTGAAGGAAATTGAGTTGAGCAGTACAAAAATAAGTGTCAAACTTGCTTCTTTGTATGCTGGTATGATTTTTGACAAAATTGTGTACAGTGAGAGAAAAATGGATCACTGATTGCTGAAATAGGAAAGTTTCTTCCAGGTTCGCAGAGAAAACATTGTTAGAGCAGTGATTTTAAAGAATATTGTAGAAAAGATTTGCTGCTGTAAGTATTTATAGTTGAAAGAATAATTTAATACCCTAGTTTGGATCATTATTTGATCAAATTCATTAAGGTTTGGTTTTGCTACTTTCTTTAGCAACAGCTGGAGTTAGTGTAGGCAAGGGACAAATCCTGAGCCAGCGTGTTTGTTCTTTATGCTTTTCTTTTGAAGTAGTTTGCACAATGCCTGACACTTTCAAAATGGTTTTCCCCATTAGGTTATATTGACTTGTCAAAAAGAAGAGTTTCTCCAGAGGAGGCAATCAAATGTGAAGACAAATTCACAAAATCAAAGACTGTAAGTTGCCTTGCTAGATTCAGGCACTGTGTGCTGCCAGCTTCTTTCTTGAGCAACCAAAATGCACAGACATAAGATAGTAAGAAAGGAAAGTATTGTTCTCATTTATTAAGCATATTCTGATTCTTATTTACCCATGCAAATGTATATAATCAGCTCATCTGTCCATGAGTGCTCTGGTAAGCTGCAGATCAAGTGATGTGTCAGTTGAAAATCTGTGATGTAAAGGGGAAAGTTTAAATTATTAGAAATCCAAAATCACATGCTAGTTTATCACTCTGTGAAGAAATTATTGAAAAGGTGTGCAAGTACACAAGTAGTTTAAGGCATCAACTCCTACCCTTGCTACTGTGTGGTTTTATGCTTCTGAGTAGAATGCCTTCCATTAACTATTACTTTGTTTCTGACTTTTTTCTTTGTATGCAAATATACCGTTTAGCAACTTGATAATACTTTTTTATATCAGTTTCCATGAGAGAAGAATTTTATCTTCGTAACTACAGAGTAAAGGTTTAGGTCAATAAAGTGCTTTTTGATATTTTGTAAGTTCCTAGAACTCAGTAGGTGATTTGTTGCTAAATATAGGGAAGGATTGTATTGCAACATCTACAGTGTTTAGAATCAAGACACTTTATCACTGATATTTCTTATTGTTTATTTGAATCAACAATTTTGGTTGTGGACTTTGATCTGCAAGACTCAATATCGTGCTGTGCTTGCATAGTAAGAGGCATTACAAGAGAGTGTGAGACTGGATAGGTATGTGAGGGAGTGGTTTTGTTTTGGGGTTTTGTTTCCCTTTTTTTTAATACTCCTTTTGTGTTCAAGGTTTACAGTATCCTTCGTCACGTTGCTGAAGTCTTGGAGTACACTAAGGATGAGCAGCTTGAGAGTCTGTTCCAGAGAACTGCCTGGGTGTTTGATGACAAGTACAAACGACCAGGATATGGTGCTTATGATGCATTCAAGCATGCAGTCTCGTAAGGACTTCTTTTCTGCTTCTAGGGGTTTATTTCATAACTGCAGAGAAGTATTTCCAGTATTTCCTGGAATAGATCCATTATAATATTAATTTGAGGGCTCAGGGCTTTTTTTGCAGAGTAGAATATACTGGTCAGGTAAACCTAGTAAATTTTGACATCAGTCTTCCAGTTGCTTATTGTAGGTTTCTCCATCTTATTGCTTTCTTCAAGTTCCCAGTGCTTTTGAGAAAGAAAACTAAATTGACTTGTTTTTATCCATCTTTGAGTGTGCCACTCTGTGTATGTCAGTTTTTTAAAAGTAGCAATAGAATTTGATGTGGAGAAATACTAAGGCACTTGGTGAATAATATAAGAGAAACACGTAATTACACACACTGGAGAGATTCCTGTTGCTACAGATGAGCCTGTGACACTTCTAACAGAAGCAGCAGCACTGATCTATGTTTGTCTGTCAGAATTTACCTGTTCTTAATCCCAAGCAGATGTTACCAAACATATCTAGCTCCGTGTTTGAAGATACTCCTGCTCACACCTGACTGTCACTCTTCCACTGCACAGGCAGAATTTTTCCTTTTTTAAATGCAGCAAGCTGGCCTGTTACTTCTCTACATTTCCAAATTTAAAAAACGGGAATGTGATCATTAACTTAAAAATGGAATTATGAACAGAAAGAGTTGGAGATTGTGATGTTAAGGAACTGTGCACCAAGATAGATTGCTCTTAATGTTTTTTTATTAACTTTGGTATTTTAATATGCTTTCAGAATTAACCAGCTTCACTCCCCTCTAAAGATTCTATTGTGAAAATGACAATCCAAAACCAGATTTCTCAACAAACATTTCAAATTTTAGTCTTTTATAGCGTGTAAACCTGAGTGATGAACTTGAGTGGAACACTAGATGGCAGTAATAAAATTTTAGAAGTTGTGTTGTCTTAAAGAAGCCAGGGCACTTCATAGCATAACTTAAACCATCTTGGTGTTTTTGGGGAAGTGTCAACTTGTGTCCTCATTTGGACTGAATGTGCTCTGTTTCATAGAATAATAATTATTTTCTAACGATGGAAAATTTACTGATAAAGGGCAAATCTGGGCCCATTGCTGCAGAAGGAATTCCAGATCATTCTGTAACTCATAAATACTTAGTTAAACACCTGTATACTAGAAGAACAGAAAACTGTAGTTACATTGTCTGTTTAAGCTTCTCTTAAACTTGGAAAAATTCCTGAACACGCATGCCGTTTGTTGCTTATCTGCTATTCAGGTTGGAGCACAAACTTTTGAAACTGTCTGTTCTCAAAGCATGTTTTCATCAGTAATGCCTTAAGATTTCTGACAACAGACTGCAACTTTTATTTGTTCCCGTTGTGCTCCTACATAAAGCTGTAGCGGTTGAGCAGAAAAATGTGGATATTGCTGCCTTCCTGTGCTTGCTGAAGTGCTTTCTGGAGGCTTAACATGCCCACTAAGAATATGACTTGCTATTTTTTGCTTGGTACTGAGGATTAGTGTTTTGGGGTTTCACACAGCAGGATACCAGTGGCAAAATTTAGAGTGTATTTACCCTCTGATTGGTAAAAATTAAGCATCCAGGACCTGTTTGTTGAATGCCTACCAAATGTTCATGAAAGTATCTTGAAGATTTAACAGAATAGATTGTAAATGAAGAAACAGAATTTGCATGTCCAAGGAATCACTTCTGCCAAATGGGTTCATATTTTTGATGTGTACAAATTGTTATATTTCTGGGTTCTGTTTGCTTATGTTTGGCCCTTGTACTATCTATATTTAGTATACAAAATCATGAAAGGTGATATTTTATTAGCATCAGAGACCAATCTCTAATATTGCCTCTGTTTTTTGGACCATTTTAGTTCATGTTTGCCTGCTAGTAGTGTTGTAGGTGATCTGGTATTGCTTTTCAGAGAACTGCCACTCCTGTCTCTAGAGAACAGGAACAATTTTTATGAGGAGCTTTTTGGCTATGGTCTCTGTTTCAGAGGTATTTGGGATAAAATTAATACAGCAATAAAGAGAATTGGCTTCACTTCTTCAAACAAGAGCTGCTAATTTATATGTTAAAACAGCAGAAGAGTTTGCCTCTGTGATCTCTGGATTTTAAACTATTAGCTTGTGATCAAAAACCAGTTATTCTTTCTTTAGCCAAGAATGTAGACAGCAGATAAGTATCTCTCTGTGATCCAGTCACTGTTAAAAAAAGGGGTACAGAATAACATGGAATGAGCATAGGTTACTTGCAGAATTACAAAAATCTTATATTTGAATGAAATGCTAAAATAATTCAAAAACCTCTGATTCATCATGGGTCCTCTTTCATGCAATGTGTTTATCTTCACATTGGAGGGAACATAAGTACCAAGCAGATAGATATTTTTCTCGCTCTATGTATCATGTACAAATGGAGCTGGACAGAAGTCATTAATTTTCTTAAAAAAAAATAAAATCAGATCATTCCTTCCATGTTAAGTAAACTACTTTTCTGCTTTGTTGTTAAATGCTTCCAATAGAAAATATTTTTTAAATAGACGTGTTTATTTTCTTCCAGTGTTTCAGTGGACTCTTAATAAATTACCCTATTTTCATTGCCTAGTAGATCTCTATGATTATGCATAATAATATTGAAGTAGTACCAGAAATTACTGTTGTGTCATATTCCACTTCAGTATAACTTCTGTAACATTGCTTTGCTTGGCTCAGAGACCCTGCAATCCTGGATAGCCTAGATCTGACAGAGGAAGAGAGGCGTGTATTGATTGACAATATTAACAGGCGTCTGACACCACAAGCAGTTAAAATCCGAGCTGGTGAGTGCTTTCCAGATGGTCATTTAACATGTCTTGACACTTAAGTCAAGTTAGCCTATCTTGTTGCAAACTATAAACTCAGTTAAAACTACTTTTGGTGATGCTGATATTTGAGCATAACTGTCTTCCAGAATTAAGACACCTTAATCAAGGATTGCTTGCAAAATGCCTGTGTGGGTTCTATTCAAATTCCAAGGTGGTTTGGCTTTCATTTTTTCCCCCAACCTACAGATTCCTTGGGATGCAAAGTACTTGTCCTGATACGTAATGCAGTCTATCATATTGCGCTAACACACAATGAATTTAAATATTTTATAGTTATTCCTGCATCCACAGTATTCTTTTTCATTATTCAAAGTGTTAAATTCTTTGGTTCCCTAACAGGATGATTGATCTGTGTCAGCACGGCTAGGGCATATGTCTTAGCCACTTCTCCATGAACATGTGAAAATAGTTCCAACTTTGCTCTGGGTGTATTTCTAAATGGTTGATTGGAAACCGTTCAGGACGATACATTAGCTCAAGCCTCCCATGTCTCTAATGTATTCATAAAGTGTATGAGCTGGTTTGTCTTGTACTAGCTCAGAGCGGGCAGAAAAAGCACATGACTGCACTACTTAAGAAGGCATACTTTAAAACTGTAAGTCTGGTTGTACAGCTAACCGAACAGCCCAAAAACATGCTTGCTGTTAAACAGATAGTCAATGTAGCAGAGTTACATTTTTTTAAAGTAGATTGAGAAATTGCCTCTGCTCTGCAAGGGTATATTGAAGAGCATTAGCACTTGTTGATGACTGTGGAGAGAAGAAAAGCCTTATCCACATGACAGTGAAGTTGAGAGTGCAAAATGTAAGTGGGATTTGATTGCCATGAAGAATTAAATTGATAAGTAGCACTTGATTAGTTTTGAAAATAAAGTTACTTGATGAACTTGTTCTCTTACTTTCTTCATATTGCCTATTTTGTCATGACGGTCTAAGTTGTTTTTGTCATCAGAGCAAGTATAGAAATTTTCCATTGGCTTGTAGTCTCATCCTGAGACTGTCTGGGATGCTTTTCTGTGAATTTTTGTGATAGCTGAGAATTAGCAGGTTGTGGTTAGTCAGCTCGAAGTAAGACTAATTTCTCTTAGTCTTGCACCATTGCTACATAGGTAAAGAAATCTTTGTCTTTAGACTAGTTGGGGTATTACAAATATGACTAACATTAAGCTGTGCCTTAATTTCCAAACAGATACAAAAAGCTATACCTTATTATTGCTTTAACTGCATGTTAATATAAATTACCATAAAAAAAAAAACCTCCAGTGCTCCACAAGTGATGCCTCTGTTGTAATTGCTGACAGAATTCTGTGAATTTGTGGATATGCTCTTTTTCAAGTTTCATTTTTCCTGATAGATCTTTCATTTTCTCTGGTATTTATTGTTTTTATATCGTCATCTCTCCATGTGAAATACTTAATTATTCCCATTGGGTTTATTGGGTGAGAGGTGAGTGAATGTGGGTATATAATTTCATCTCTTGGCTTTTCAAAGCACAATGTAAAATGGTGTACATCTAAAGCATTTACAAAGACGTTTAGCTCAACTTACAAGTCAAGAAAGTGAAATACCTTCCTCATCTTTGGGAGCTGCAGAGGCTCTCGTTGTGGATAAACATTGTTTGCTAAAAAGCTTTATTAAAGCTTAAGTTAAAAAGCTTTAAACATTCTACAGCTTTTGGTAATTTTAAGTTTTATTATTTGTATTCCTCTGTCCTAGATATTGAGGTTGCGTGTTATGGTTATGAAGGCATAGACGCAGTAAAAGAAGCTTTGAGGGCAGGCTTGAACTGTTCCACAGAGAACATGCCCATTAAAGTAAGTGTCTGTCTTAATAGTGAAGTCAAAAACTAAGTTTTCTGATGTCCTCGGGTACCAGTAGCATGCAGTTGCAATTGTCACAATCCAATAGCTGAGCCTGAGAAGCCATGTACTTATTTTGATTCTTCTCTAGCAGCTCTGTAACATACTTCCTTTCAACAGTGTGCTGCCATTTGTAACTGTGTTGTGGCTTCCCAAGTTCAAGCTGTATTTATTCTGCTCAATTTATTAGTCTAGTATTGGCACACTACATACCTACTGCAAATAAGTGTTTTCAAAAAACTTGAAAGTGCTTCCTTCTTTGCGAATGGTTTCTTACAATGGTTTCTTGTAACAAAAGACGTTTACCTATCCAGTCATCTTAAAAACAGAAAAAAAAAAAACAAAACCAAACAAAACAACAACAAAAAAACACAAACCGAACCCACACACCAAAAAAAACCAAAGCCCCCAAAACAACATACTGCAACATAAAGGTTGTCACAGTTTTCTAATTGTTTGAAAAATTATGTGATAGGCTGTCCTACTGATTTGCAAAGTGGATATTCTCTCTGCTTAGCAATATTTGTCTAAATAAACATACTAAATAACTGATGCTGATGTTGGAAATTGGACAGATTGTGCACTTTCTTGTCTGCTGTTTCTGTCCAAGTTGTTTATACTTCTAGAAAGGGTTTTTCTAAAGGGAAAATGTTTCTTCTTCTGTGAATTGTACATTCAGAACTGCATTGCTCACTTTGCTTTTGAGATTTTTCTTTGGTTTTGTTGCTGAGTTTTCTTTTTCTCCCCCCCCACCCCAATCTCTACCATGTGATAGATTAATCTGATAGCCCCTCCTCGTTATGTGATGACTACAACAACACTGGAGAGAACTGAAGGACTGTCTGTTCTAAATCAAGCCATGGCTGTAATTAAAGAAAAAATTGAGGAGAAGAGAGGAGTCTTTAATGTGCAGATGGAGGTAAGAACATATTACATTTTAGAATGTTTTGGGTTTTTTTCCTCACAACATTTTTAAAGTAGAGCAAGATTGGTAGTGCTAGGAGAAACTTTAGCAAAAAAGGTATTAAATAAAAAAACCCTGAACTTCTGTGTCTGTTAAGCAATTGGCAAAAAATTGTAATTTTCCTGGTTTTTCTTGTGTGACTTCAGGATATGTTTTAGCTCTTGCTCTTTATGTAGAATCAGAGCCTACAAATACATATGGTCTTTCTTAATGACAGTTTACCATGTATTCTATTTTGTTTGGGTTTTTTTTCAGCCTAAGGTGGTTACTGACACAGATGAGACTGAGCTTGCAAGGCAGTTGGAAAGACTGGAGAGGGAAAATGCTGAAGTGGATGGGGATGATGATGCTGAGGAAATGGAAGCCAAAACTGAAGACTAAATATTCTCGGATATTTAGAAGAGACAGCCCATATGAAAAATTAAAGAACGTATTGAAAACATTCTGGACTAAATGTTTCCAGTATTGAAAACTTCAAATGCAAATACTTGAAGTGTTCTGCTCTTTTAAAAAGACACATATGTGAAAGGCTCTTCTCAATAACATTTGGTACAGCAACTTAGAAAAATTCAATCCTTGGAAGGGAAGGTGCCTAGTCAAATTCAAGACACTGATGTGGCCAGAGGGAGGTTGCAGCCCTGTACTTAACATTCTCGTACTTAACAATTCCTAACTGGTGATTACAGCTCAGTGCATCTGTTAATGATTTTTCCTGGGAGCACCAAAACCAAGCAAACTGAACAGTTCTATACAGAATGTATTTGAGCAAATATTCAATAAATTTCTGGGCTATGTAGCTCCCAAGATTTTTTTTTTCTCTTTTGTCACATGGCCTAGAGTGCTATGAAAATAAAACCTGGAAGGGTATGGTCAGTGGGTGACTCCCCTTTAATATTGGACGGGCCTTCTTTTGTTTGCTTTAAATCAAGCCAAGAATGAGTGGAGCAAAATATTGTCTTTGCAAGTTTGTTGATGCAGACTTGTTTAAAACAGCATTTCCTTTGTTTTTTATCTATGCTTAGGGACTGAGAACTTGAAAACTTTGGATATAGCTTGTTACCATTCCAATAAACATAGCTCATAAATGAAAAATTACATACAGTTGCACTTTGGTCCTATAGGTGAATATAGCAGGAGCTTTAACGAACTTATTCATACTTCCAAATAGTGCTGTCTTCTAAGCTCACTGCTGCATGACCTTCAATTCTGCCTATCCTAAACCTGGTTTACAGTGGCCTGAGCTATTCACTATAGAAACAACCTGTTTATCTTCTCTGAAGAAGAGAAACAATGTGTGCTTCTCTATGTTGGAGTATAAAAGAAATAAATATCCTGTTCCTTGTCTGTGGGAAGTGGGGGAAGTTTTTTTGTTTACGTAACCTCTTCAGATTGCTAAATTTTTAAACTTATTTATATATATTTTTTTGTCATGTCCCATATTGCCCATCTCCTTTTTCTCTTAATATTTTGTGCTGCTAGAGGAAAATTGCACGAAAAAATAGGCTTTGAGCCCTAACTAGGAATTCCTCATGCTGCCACAGTACAGACAATGTCATGGTGTTGTCACAAAGGGCATATGTATTGCAAATTGTGCTTGATTATCAGAGAAGTTCACATCTACACAACTCTCATAGTAATGTAAAGCCAAAAAATTAATTTCCACTCTTTGGAGAATGTTGGGAAATACCTGAATGTGTTGTCACAAAATGAAGAAATTTTTTTTTAATGGTTATTTTCTCAAATTGTCTCTTCAGAAGCTGCATATGACAGCCTTATCGTGGCTTGAAGTTGTGGTAATATTAGATTCCTGTTTGAACTTTGCCCATTCACTAAAATAGTGATTTGACTTGTATTAACACAATAGGTGTGTACTTGGACAAAAGAACAAAGTGCTTAAAAACTAAAAAATTGCCACGTGATCTGTATGCCAAAATAATGCTGTAAAGGAAAGCACTGGAAAATGAGCCATGTATGCTCTTTCCTTGGAGTGCTGTTTGGGTTACAAATACATCATCGCTGAGAGATGCTTTGGAGTGTTCATAGGCAAGCATCGTTTCTGTCAGTAACTTAGGCAAGTTTGCTAAACTTGTTCAGTAGCTGCAGGAGCTTTTCTAATTAGAGCCTCAATGTGCTGGTGTACACAATTCTGTGTCAATTTTGAGGACCTGAAAAAGGGCGGAGATGGTGAGGATGGTAACAAAGCAGCTTAAGGTAAATGTGTTTCAATCGTTTATTACCCTGGCAGGTAAAATCAGGCTCTCCCATTGCCTGAGAGATTTTAACCAGGCAGCAGCTGGAAGGAGGAGGTCTCAGATGGCTGCTTTTGAGACCTGTTGGTGAGGTGTGAAGAGTGCTGAACCTGTGAAGGCCATGCTGGGACTTGGCTGTGGTGCATCAGTTGCCATAGCCTGTGACTACAGAAGCTGTTGAAGTGATACCTTCTATCTCAGCCGGTCTATTTTTTGTGTGTCGAACTGTATTTGCCTACAGAGTGCTTAAAATAAGGGTTGTGTGTTTTGTGTGAATGTCCTTGTTGAGTCGCTAAAGCAAGGTGGTATATTCCTGCTGTTCGTTAGCAGCTGTGCCGTTTCATTGTAATTGCAAGGCCAAAATCTGCTTGGACTCGTAGTCAACTGAAGGGAAAGGTACAGGTACACCTGTGACAGGCCTTGGCGTGATGTGTTAGCTGTAAGGATCTCAGCTTGACTTTTGTATCCCAGATTAATTTGGTAAGATTGGCAGCTTGGAAACAGTTTACTTATAACATCTGATAAGGACTCACTAACACCAAAAAAACCCACACAGAGGTACTGGATCAGGTCAGGCACACAGTCCAGTAACACACGGCCCAGCATCCTGTCTCTGATCAGGGGCAATAGAGGCTGCTAGAGAAGGAGTGCCCTGCTTCCTTGGGGTTGTTGTGGTGTGTCTGGTTTTTAATACAGTGACAATTCCTTGCTGTTTTCTCTCTGATTCTGGCCCTTTATTTTTTTTTTTTTTTAGATACAGTGGAGCTGGCATGTTGTTCTTCATAGCAGAATCTGCGCTTTGGTATTTAATTTCTGGTAGTTTTTTGTTCGAGTCTAGACAATTGACTGTTTTCAAACACTGCCGCCTTTCTACAGTTAATTTTTAAAATGCTGTTATGTCAGAATACTTTTGAACACTTGTCATCTTTCACTTTTATCTAGAAATGTTTCATGATTCTTTATTTTGATGTGGTTTGTTTTCATCTTATTTCATCCCTAATTCACTAAAGGAACTAAATATTTAATGGTGTCCTACGCCGGAGAGCAAACTCCTAGCAACTTAAAAAGCTGCTTTGAACAAGCTGGGTATATGTAATCCCATGTGTGACACGATGATACGCAATGGGCATTGCAGAGCATGCAGTGAGAGCTGTCCTGTGGGCAGGTTCGCTTAATCAGCTGTTTGTGGCCTCTTGAGGGGCTGACCTGGAAGTACCAGCAATGTCTGTCAACTCAGCCAGCTGAAATGGTGCAGTCTGCGCTCAGAGCCGGCTGCTTCTGCCCTCCCCTGTAACCCTGAGTAACATCCTGTGGTCCTGAAGCCTGCAGCTGGCTCTTCCTGACCATCCCAATACAAATTCTATAGCATGTCATGTATTTTGGGGACACTTTGAGTGAAAGAAAATCTCAAGCACTCAACTGTGCTTTTTTGGTAAAATACTATTTTGTTAAATAGTATTTTGTGAAAATACTGACATGTGGAAAACACTCTAAAATGGATCTGAGGAAACAGATAGTCCTCCCTTAAGTGAGTTTCAACTCCCACAGAAGACTTGCTATGGACTTCCCTAGGTTTACCTGGATCAAAGCATGTCATTTTCCACCAGGAGACTTCAATGCTGGAACTTGCCTTCCCAGCGCATGCATGAATATGGCAGCCCAGATCTTCTGACTCATTTTACACTATATGACCCTTTTCCTGCAAAGCCATCTGAGAGATCTATATTTACTCAGCCTCGGGGAGCAGTATAGGAGCAGTCTGTCAGCCTTGATTGACTACAGAATGAGACAGGGGCAAGGTGGGGCGTGTATGATGAATATCCAAAGTATTGAAGAAATACTTTGAAGTATTGAAGAAAGTGAAGGCTCCAGATTGTAAAAAGCAGTTGATACAAAGCCTGTTGTTTAATGACCAGCTACAGCAATGTTTGCTTCACCATTCACGAGCAGTTTGACAATAATATTCTGTGTTGCTACCAGTAATTTTGCCAAGATCCTCTCCAGGGTTGTGGGTGGTCTGCATGCTGGAGAAAAAGAGCTTGCTCAGATCTTTGGTGAGGACTGGTTGTGGTGCAATTCTGAGATCACTGTCTGAGCGAGAGCCCCCTGCAAGCTTCTGCCTGTCCTCACTAGCATGAAATTGTCTCACCCACCTTGTTATAAATTGCCTGCAGTAACAAGCTGAACAATGTGAAATCAAACCTCAAATACCGAACGGTGGAACGCTGTATTCCTGGAGCTGGTTATATAAAGAGTGCATGCAGGAAACGCAGCAGTAATGTCTCTTGTGTACCTAGACTCAAGTTTTCTTTTTTCAAGCTTAATTCTGATGTACAGAACATTGTGAGCTGAAATTAGTTTTCTTTTTTCTGCTGACTGCATCAGTTTTTTTCCCAAGATTCTGCTTCTGCGTACAACTTTTATTTATATAGATACTTATGTTTATACACAGAGATGGTGATTATTTTGTAAATTAAAAGAAATGCACTCAGTTCATTTCTGCTTTATTTTAAGGTCACAATAATATAAAAAAAATACAAAAAAAATTCTATTTATATATTTGAAAATATTCTTCTAGGTGTTCTGTTAAACTTACTGTACTCTCTTTAGATGGACTGAAGAACAACTATAATTGGGATATGACTTGCCTCGTGGCTGCCTGCCTTTTCCAAATTGGCAAAGGGAGTACAGTAGGAGCTACATACATAACTTCCATATGAGCCGGCTGCTTTTGAAATCTCAGCCAGCATGCTTTCTCTTTACACAGCAATTGATTTTTCTAACTTCAAGTAGCGTTCAGTCACCCATTGTATTTCTCACGATCTCTGCAGGACTGTATATAAGTTACCGTTATTACGGTTGTCTCCCGTACGTTGTCAGACTTGAATTTTTTTCAGTTGTCTTGATCTTCCTTGTTAAAGTTATAAAAAATAGTATAAAGATAAAGAAATTATTTGTTTGTTCCTTTTCCTTAGTACATGAAAGAGTGACCAGTAATCTGATCTGCTGTGCAAAGACTGAGAGGTACTTGAATCACTTTGCCTCACTGAACTCTGGACTCTCTTTCTACATAGCAACGAGTGTTTTTGTGATATACTGTACGTCGTGTTTCTTATCACAGCCCCTAGCTCTGCCCATGTATATCACCTTAATTTTCGTACAAGTCAGGGAATGCTAACAGCACAGCAAAGACTATTACTTCTGAAGAGCAGACTTGTTTGAAATACTAATACTAGTTTGTTTCATCATGACAAGATTTGATAAATAATGGACAGAGTCTTCAAAAATGCAATAAACATCAAACTTGTATTCAGACACAGAAAAGGCACTCTGTTTCAGAGGTGCTCAGGAGCTAAAAGAGATCGCTGCACAGTGTTCATTGATCAGACTGCTTTACTAAAAGCCCGACTAGTTGCTTATGTGGGCATTTAGGATATTGAGAATCTTGGCTTATATGCCCAGAGGTCAGTGAAAGTAGAATGGGCTTTTAGGTGCTTTGGGTCTTCTTCAGTAAAATACATTTCTAGCAGAATAAATTCTTTTAAGG